GGGGGGGGGGTAGTAAATATGTTATTTTCTCTAGTCTGATCTGCTTAGGTCTTCTATTTGTACTAGTTAATAAATGTGGTCGATTGTTTTTCATTTCTCCCAAACAGAGTCTTTTATTAATGCAAGCCAAAAAAAAAGGTGAAAATGAAATGGTAGGATAATTTATAGACAAGAAAGGGATGTCATACCTATGTATGGGTAACCTTTCATGGTTTCCTCTGTCTTTTAAACTTACTTTTGAAGGTTGCCAACCTCATCCTGTCTCTAACAACAGTCACATGTACCCAAGCCAACCTCTTGACGGAAGTAGTAGCCTACTAGATTCTACTTGTCAACAACGGTAGTCTCTTCACCTATATAACCCAATTTAGGTCTCTAGGGTAAACTCCACATAATGTGGTACTGTACTTGATCCTTGAAAGGAAAATAAATGCTTAGTGTCCACAGAGTGCATGCAGTACAGAAGGCTACTGTTCTATAAAAGACTGTCTTTGTCTCAGTGTCGGATAGAGGCGGAGGTTTTCATTTTATAAATGATCTAATTTCTATGCCACCAAAATACAGTCGAACCTGCCCTGACGGCCACCTGTACAAACGGCCACTTTCCATTTTCCCCCTTGCATTTTTTCTATATAATTTAACTGTGAAACGGGCACCTGTCCAACGTGGCCGCGGCCGCCATATTTTAACACACAACCCCTATCACACTAAGCAATAACACCTGTCTTAGACGGCCACCTTAGTGACCCCATTACGTTTTGTCATAAATCATGCATTGGTCCCTGGCGTTGTGGGCGAGCCGTCATAATCCTATCTCCTGTCGTTATTTCTGCGCATGTTCCGAGGAAGTCCTTCCAACCAATCATGTTGCGTAGGCCCCTCCCACTGTTGATCAATAGGTAACAAATTTGCAGCTGCTGGTGAGGTAAGCGTGTGATCCTTCATAACCTATAAGCCCCGCCCAGAACTCATACACAAATCGTAAGTGAGATGAGTGGTCACTGTTTACCCAGTCTGTAACCAAGTAACCATGGAGGTCAGCATGAACTTGTTACAAAATCGTTGCTCGTTCTCCGAGTGGTGGCGACATGTGTGTTTGTTTTACCATAGCACTTGGTCCATTTCGTTTTGTTGTCACCCTTGCACAAAAGCAGCAACAAAAGAACACCCCTTCCCCCCAGCGAAAACAACAACAACAATATCAACAACAACAATATCAACAACAACAACAATGCGACTGCTTTCGGTTGGGACCTCAGAAAGGAATAGTTGGTTTTCTTCATCTTGATCAGTCCTGCCTAAGACGGCCACCTGTCTTACTTATATGGCCACTTTTCTCCTTGACAATGGGTGGCCATCTTACACAGGTTCGACTGTATTTCTTTGCTAAGTTTGCTATATTGGAGTTGCTACCTCTTGGCTTGAATAATATTATGATAAAGGAAAGTGAGATTATTCTGAAATTAGCTGAAACTAAAAGGAGCTAGAAGTGCAGATTTTTCATGTTTTGCTATGTTTTCAACATTTAGGTCGTCTCTATGGCATGCAGAAGGCAATGGAGATTGACAGGTCGTCCCCTGAGGCTCGCCAGTTCCTAGTGGGATTAATGGATTACTTAGAAAAGGTCAGATTTTGTTATGACTTGTATGATATTTGTTGGGTTGGGTTTTTTTCAAAAGTTGAGTTCTGTGCCCATGAAAAGCCACCAAGGTAAGTTTTTGTCTGAGAAAGCAAGATTCAGTAGCTGAGAAATTATAAAGAGATTCAAGTAACATATGATTTTGATTATGATGTAGAGTCTAAGCAAAAAGGATGTCCTTTAAAAAATGTCTAACTGTTCTTCTCCTCCTAAAAATGATGCCAAAGTTGCACCAGGACAAATTTAGAATGCGGATTATTGAGAATATATCATTGTAGTCACAAAATCTCAAATAAACTCATGTAGTTTCTCACTCTCCCTTTCCCCTCAATTCTCAAAGTGTTTAACTTTCTCATCTAAGAAAAGTTAGATTTAACGTTTTTTTGTGCTCCTGGTAAAAATGATGTGAAGCAAAATTCTTGATCAGGTTCGGTTAGGGCTACCTATTGACTTGTATAAATTTACAGAACAGATATTTTCTTAAACAAACAAACCAACAGGCTTTTAGTCCCTTCGTCCCCTTCTGACTGTAACTGGTCTGTGACTCTTTATCTGTTGTCTTTTAATTAAAGTGTTGAAGTTGACGAGGGGGAGTGGGTATTTCTTTACTTTTTACTGTTTGTAAATCTAGGGGTGGCACACACACACACTCACACGCACATGTTTTGTTTCTCTCTCTCTCTCTCTCTCTCTCTCTCTCTCTCTCTCTCTCTCTCTCTCTCTCTCTCTCTCTCTCTCTCTCTCTCTCTCTCTTTTTCCCTTTTTCTTCATCTCACGCGCACACATAAATTCGGCACACACACACAGATAAAAAGAATGTCCAGTCTCTTTACAAAACTCTCCAGACACCACATGGTGGGTTGATATAGAATAGAACCAGTTGTTCTGATATAGAAATCTGTGGTTGACAGGTGAAGGGACAACTGAAAGATGAAGAGGCTGTGCACAACGAGGTGATTGGCCAAGCCCATGTGGAGAACTATGCCCTAAAGATGTTCCTGTATGCTGATAATGAGGACAGAGCAGGGAGATTCGACAAGTGAGTTTTTTGTTTTGTTTTTGAACAAGTGAGTTTTTAGTACAGAGAAGACTTGCTTTTATTGGTCTGTTGTTTTTTAAGGAAGTAAAAACTGAGGCATGTAATAACCATTATTTTAGTGTTGTTGCCGTTGTCTGTTCAGCAGGTGTGGCTGCTTGCACTTATTATTTGCCTCTCTGCCTTATTGTGAAATTTGGAGATGCAGTGGAACTTTTTAGAAGTGCCTTTATTTTACTCATGAGGGATACATTCTTCACTATCCTCACAAAATATGACATTTGTTTGTTTGTTGGGGGGGGGGGGGGGGGTTGGTACTATTATTGTAATAGTAAAAAATGGAGATGTGTACCAGTAGGCCTTCAAAACAAGGATTAACTGAAAGTGTTTTTCTTTCCTGTTGTATTTAAACTTGATCTTAGAGCAGTTCCATAAAAGGCTGCTGCCATAATAAATGAGTGCAAAGTTGAAATTATAACGAATCTCTCAGACCTAGACTGTCAGAGTCAGAGTGCAGTTTGTATGCTATTTAGCTTTGAAAAATTGGTGAAAATGATCATTATCCCTTTTTTTCTCACATTCAGAGAAAAAATGCCTCTCTATCAACTCAAACTTTAAGTTCATAAGAGGATGTTTCCAGAAGCTTATTGTGTTTTGATTTGTTTTTGTTTTTTTCTTTGTTTGTGTTTTCAGAAATGTTGTGAAGTCATTTTATACTTTGTGTTTTCAGAAATGTCGTGAAGTCATTTTATACTGCTGGAATGTTGATGGATGTACTTTCGACCTTTGGAGAAATAGGGGAAGATGTAAGTTATGTTATGTTTGTAATAAAAGGTTGGTGTCTTTTTTTTGGGGGGGGGGGGGGAGGGGGGTTACTATATTGTAATCTTTATAAATTTTAACTTGCTTCATTTTTTTGGTGTAAAGTAAAGTAAAGTAAAGTTGTTCCCGCATCCGGTCGGGACGTTGGGGGATTGCCTTGTTTGTGAGACAACTTCCTGGGCCTTCGGCACATTGTGGTAGGGTGGTCAGTTTCTTTCGACGCCGCCTTTACTTCCCCAACTCAAAGTCAGGTACCCATTACTGCTGGGTGGGCAGGAGGGGGCGAAAAAAATCTCTGTCTGAACCGAGGCTCGAACCTAGAGTTTCCGCTTCAGAGATGAGCGCACTAACCGCTCCGTCACCGCACCCTCGCAATTTTTTTTTTTTAAATTATTTTTTTGGGGTTTTTTTTGGGGGGGGGGGGGTTAGGCTCACCTATTTTTAAATTTGGAAATCAAGTAGGCTGTTGCCTTTTTGGGGGGGTAGGTGAAACATATGTCTGTAAATTTGTTGAATTTTCATTCTCATCATGTTTGTAATTATAGTCTACAATTAGAAATGATGTTCTTTTCAGAATAATATGCATCATAATTTCTATTTCATATTTAAGTGGCCTTTTTAGTTTCAAGTTTGTATTTAATTTTTTTTCTTGTGGACAGATTGAGAGCAATAAAAAGTATGCAAAGTGGAAGGCTGCATACATCCATAAATGTTTGAAAAATGGAGAAACTCCCATTGCTGGGCCTATGCCAGAGGAAGGAGATGATGAAGGTTGGTGCACATACACTCAGTATTTGTGTGTTAGAAAAAGTATTTACAGTATAACACAGACAGGTTGAACTCAGAAGACTCGAAATCACGCATCCGGTGCACTGCCTGCGGTCCCGTTATATTTTCTTCTTTGTCTTTGTATCATATCCCTCAAACAACGGTTCCCTTGAATTAACAAGGCCTGTCTCGAGGAATTCGAGCTATCCGTGTTTTTACTGTACTTCTCTGTCTTTTATATGTTGTTCTATTTAAGGATGTGTCTCTAGTTAAGTATAGTGCGGTCAAAATTTCGTGGCTCAACTTATCCTCAAATATCTCTTTAATGGGTGAATCAATGTCATCCATACTTCGCACAGCTGTTTGTATCAATTTGCTTTAACTTAATCAAATTTTTTCACAACAATTGAGGCTAGATGTAAAAAACTTTTCATCGTAAATTGATGTAAAATATTATAAATATCTCTTTCACTTGGAAAATGGGATTGTTACCAGCACTTCCGGCTTCTCACACACATTTTGCATATACGCACATAGCCTGCGTCATCAATGGCACTTTTTAGTGGCAAAACTTGTTCGAGAAATCAATTTTATAGTGAAAACATTTTTTGCACTAAAGTTCTCAAAACAAGCGTTAAATAAAGATAATCTTTATTTTAAAAACATGAGTGACTTTCTTTTAAAAACAATATTGCCACTGCTGTAAATCTTGTAAAATCTGTTGAAATCACCCTCTTTGATTTTTTATTAGTATTTTTTAAAGAATTTTCTAGAATAAAGCTAATGGGTGTTTACAAAAGTATTGATCTGGTAAGACAAATTGATACAAGGCAGCGTGCAAAAGGTGGAAAGTCTATGTTCGATAGTTTAGGAAATATTTGACAGTAAGTTGCGCCACAAATTTTTGACGGCACTACAAGAGTCTTGTTTAATGGTTGATTCTTTACTCTATACTGCATACTTTATTTCCTCCTCCCCTCCCCATGAACTCTTTTACCTTAAGATTGATCAAGGCAGCAGATAGGGGCAAATCTAGAGAACAAAAAAAAAAAGGTTCCAGCAATTTTTTTAAGGCAGAGGAGCTTCCCTAATTAAGATGTTAAAGAAATACAGAAGACAAACTCATTGATTGATAGAATGGGAGATTGTGACTTACTATACTTCCTACATGAAGAGTTGTCTCTGCTCTGGTGGACTGTTTTTTAATGTGTTCTTTGACACTGTGTTTAGTTACAATTTTGCTGTGGTCCCGAGGTTGCTCAGAGCTAATTATGTCTGCTATGTTTCATATCAGCATACATAATGTCTTGTGTGCCATAACTTTTACCCTGCAAAAATTTGTTAATGATTCAAGTAGCCAATAACCTCTGCCTTACACATTGAAAACATAGTTAAAAGGGTATGACTGCTGAGATGTGAGTTCAGAGTGCCTCAAGGGTCTTTTCAGTTTAAGTTTGTGGCATTATATTATACGTGTGCATTCTGTGTTTTAGAAAGCAGATCAGATGAAACCACATTATAAATAAAAATCTAAATTTGTTCAAATGTATGCCTTCTAGATGTATGTAAACTATTTCCAGGAAGTGACCTAAAATAGCAATTTAAGCTGGTTGTGAGAGCTGAAAAATTATACACTTTAAAAAAAAAATGTGGTATGTCTTGCAGTCATTTCTATTGTGTAATCACTTTATAGACCACCAACAGGAAGCACTGTTCTGAGTTCCCATTAGCCCAATGCTGGCTAGTGTAGGACCTCTCTGGCACCTTCACCTCTCTGAACATTGGAACATTTTCTTCTCACTTTTTTTGTCTTCTGTCCCATTATCTTCTCTTACTGTCTTTATTAAGTGGAGAGCTCTGTATATGTATTACAAAATGGGCTCCACAAACCCGACGATGTTTGGACAGCCCTCGAAATGACCTTTCCGTGTTTTGTATGCTGTTAGATATTATATGTTTGTGAATGAAGAAACAAGTGCCTGCTTATCTCTACTAAACAATTTGATCATTGTAAATTTCTTTTTCAAAACAGCTGTCGGGGGTGCCCCAGCTCCTGGTCTGGGCTTTGACCACATCACAGGCCCGTCAATGCCACCCAATCAGATGACCATCAGCCAGGATTCCTCGCAGTTCCCAGCCCCAGGCGCTCACGCCCCTCCCAGCACACCACAAGACCCGACCCGTGGAGACTACCAACAGCCTGCCCCCTCTGCGTACCAGCCAGCACCCAGCAGAAGCCCACAGCCTGTACCACGGTCTTTACCTGCTGCTCAACCTGCTGCTACGTCTACTTACCCCGAGTGGACCCCTCCTGCTAATCCTGGTGAATAATATCATTGCTTTCAGACAGGAAATTGAATCGTCAAATAATGATGAGCATAAAAAGTGAAAATACCTTCTTTTAAAAAATTTTTTTTTTTTTTTAAAGAATCAATCCTTTTATGGAAAATTGCCTCTCAGTGGCACTCAAAGACAACCTACGAATGTATTATGAGAATCAAATGACTCCCGGTAGTGTTGAATTTACATTTAAACTGAGCATCACTCGGTTGGCTATGAATCAAACTATAGTCTGGTCTCTTTTAGTACTTTTCTATCCTGTTTTGTGGAATTAAACTTCTCCTTACAAGTGAAAATCTTATGGACAGCTGTGTATGAAAGATTTGATGATCAATGAGAAAAAAGACTCCGTCATCACAGGACTTAAAACGTTGGCCGTCACAAAATGAATATTGTTATCTGTTGAAAAGGCACAGAGTCTGTGCCTGATTTTGCAAAGCCACTCCTTTTGTAGTGAAGCTAAAGATTTTTGCCGAAAAGGAAATACAGTCGGGCATGGGCAACTCAAACCCACAGGGAATTAACAAATGTGTTGGACACATCCATAATTAGAGTTTACTGATAACGAAAAATTAAAGAGATATCAATTAAAGAATGACAAATTGTACACACTATCCTTAATTTTGAGTTCTCCATGTTTGTGTTGTCTGTGCCCGACAGTACGGTACTGCATTGTAATATTGTAAACTATTCACAGATGAGCAGACCTTTCAATGAGATATTCTTTGACTGTACATGTATGTAATAGCACTATTTCATACTATCAAATGAGTGGTGTAAGTGTATAGCTTGTAGGTCATGCTTCTTTTTTCCCCCTGCATTGTTTCAGTCTGTCTTTCTCTTTCTCAGTTGTAAATGACTGTTGTTATATGGATGTGCTTCCGTTTACTCAAACTAAACCATGTTGTCGCATTTTGTGGGCACATTCTTCACCTAATTGGATCTTTTGTGAAGTTTAAGTTACGCAGATGGATAAAACCTATTTGGATTGTATTTCTCAATGTTCTTTTCTTCTTTTTTTTTCTCTCTCTCTCTCCAGCGGGCGTGAAGCTAACAGCGGAACAATACCAGAAGGGAATCAAGTACTGTAAATACGCCAGCTCTGCCATGCAGTATGAGGACTCGGCCACAGCTATTGACAACCTGACGAAAGCTCTCAAACTACTCACCACAGGAAGAAATGGATAAGTAGTTCATGAAGTTAAAAAAAACAACTAGTATCTCTTTGAAACACCTTTGCCTTTTGTGATAATTTGTTATTCATTATGTATAGCATAGAATGAATGAACCATTACATTTTTATAAAGAAAAATATTGTCCCTAGAAAAGTGATCACAGTGAAATAATAATAGATTTTTGTAATAAAACTGAAATGGCTGTATTATTTTTTACCATGGAGAAGTTGAACAACCTGGTAGACACAGTGTATCTTTTTTTTTTTAAGACTGAGTGCTTCAAAACTATTTAGATACTTTCATTTCTTGATCTGCTTCAGACTTGTCTTTGATTGCTTTCTTTTCTGTTTTCTCAGGAGGGATTTGCAATAGATTTTCTCTTTCATTGATTAATTGTCCATGTTTTATTCCTCAAGTTATCACAATTTAGATCTTCTAGGAGGCGGACTGCTTCAACACTGCTTATCACGGCCAGTCCTATCTGTGTGAAATACTATGTCCCATTTGAAAGATGGGGTCTACTTCCTAGAATATTTTCCCGTGCCTGGAATCTACCATTACCTTTGCATGCACTACAAAGAGCCTAAACATTACACCACAGACCAAGCAGTCTGCCCCAGAATGATCTAAACTGTTGTTGAATTGAGCATAAAAGATATGCAAAATCAACCAGTCTGTTCTCTATTTAAAAAGTTAAAATAGATGAAACGATCCAGTTCTTTTATTACAAAACAGCGGTAAAGACTATTGTGGAGTTGGAGATTATTGCCTGTGTAAACTTCTCAATATGTACAGAGTTATTGTGTATGTGTACCTCTTGGAAGTGGTTTTGAACTTTGTTGACTCTGGCTGCTGACATTTTCTCTGCCGAGAGCTTTGAATTTTATCAAGTTGATGTTCGGATTTTAGTTACCTCTGTCTGCAAAATATTCAAAATGTGAACATTATTTTACAGAAGAAAATTGTCACACGGAACAAAGTGCAAATGCCCAGTAGCATCAATGGCATTAACATATAAATATTGGAGAAATTAAAGAGCAGATTTTTTTGCCAGTCCTGTCTTTTCTAAATAGATCAATGCAGCCTTAATTCAAAATGAGTATGAGGTAGGCTGTTTTGATCCGGTCCAATAAACCTGCGTACGGAAGGGTGTTTGAAAAGTTGCAGTCTTGTTTCTGTTTGAGTCACAGTGCACTTTGTCTTGTCATATAAAAAATTTTTAAAAAGATGTGTAAGGAATATACTGTGAGACGATGGAAACCCTTTTCTTGTTCTCTGGGTTTACGCATGTACCAGTATGAAAGTGAAAGTGTTACTGTTACTCACTCCTTTTGGGTCTGTGAATGTTTTCTCCCATCAGGCTTTTGTTTTTTTTATGTTGTAAGCGCTTTTCCTGGATAGTTCAGCTTTGTAATATGTTTCCTGAGGTCTGTCTTTTTTAACACCTGCCTAGAATAATATGGTATCTGTAATACGCATTTGGTGATTTTTGATTGACATTTATGTAAATAAATGGATGTTAAATTAATTTTTGTGTGTGTCCAATGTTTATGCTGAAGGGTTTAGAAATGGGACATATCATGTGAAGTTCATTAATGTTGTAATGCTCCCTTGTTTTAGGATTTCCTTAGCTCTATATTACTCCTCCAGAACCAGCATATGCTTTACTACTGTTACCTTTACAGGATCAACCCAAAACAAAAAACACTTCAGCTATTTGCTTTGTGATCGCCATTGCAATGTTGTCTCCGGTGGGTGGTTGGCGGGTGCTCTGGTGTGGTTAGCTTCTTCTTTCCTGTCAAACATCTATCCTTCTTGTCTCCCCTTCGTCTTTTTTATGTTTGTTACTCTCTTGTAACACCTCTAATCTTCTGGCGCTCATAGGACCTAATGCAGTTGCGAGCGCCGTAAAACCTCTACTAAAACAAATATTGTCTCCGATGTTGGTGTTAGCATGGTAATGCAGGAGACTTGAGAATTTATTAGAAGGGAAAGAAATCAAATGAGGTATCTAGTAGGAACTTGAAAAAGTGCATGTGGGCCACTTGCTGATAAAAAAAAAATTAGACAGCGACAAATGCAGTTTCTGGGACTCTCGAATACATGAGGGCCTTGAACATCCAACTCCAACTCTCACTGGTAAAATGGACGACAAACAGAGTAGGGGTAGACCCAGAGCATCTTACTTGGAAAGCCTAAATAGATGTGTAATAGGGAAAAATAAGGATAAAGTAGCTTCTTCGAGAACATCTGAGAGGAGGAATGAATAGCGAACCATGATGGCCAATGTCTGTCGCAGATCTGGCACTTGATGATGTTGATGATGCATGGACTTTGTCTGGACAGTGCTGCTATTTCTGTGCTACAGAGGGTGTGCTTATAGTATAGTTCAGTTCATAATGTATCATGTTGGATTACCTCACTGGTGATGCTGATTTCAATCCCTAAGTGTGCTGAAGTCCATTTCTCAAAGGGAGACATGGGAATTTCTATGCATATATAGATCTATATATATAATATGCCTACCCCCATACATTTCACCTATCATCACTGCATGTTGACAAAATGGATTCCCAAGATTAAGACAAAATCTTTTGTTTTTAAAAAAAATGTATGTGGAGGAGAAGAAAGAGCAAGAAGGTAACTCAGTAGAGCTGTACGCATTTTTTTCTTTGGAATACAAGTGGGGAAATTTTTCAAACATCTTTATCATAAGTGGAAAAGAAAGATCAAATAGAGAACAGTTATTATAATACGGTACGTAAGAATGTCCAACACGACGCCCATACGTCACTGGTGCAACTGCTTTTACTTTTAGTTTTAAGGATCTTATTTCAAGTGAATAGTTCATTTTGGCCTTCATGTCAGTTTTGCAAATATCATTTC